AAATCTTTCCATGAGCTTTTAAATTCTGCTCATATAGTTGAGTCTTGTTTTTTGATCCATCTCTGTCTTTTGTAAATTTAGATCATTGATGTTCAAAGTGATTACTGATATAGATGGATTAATATTTATCATATTTGTTACTGTTTTCTTTTTGTTACCCTTCTATTATTGTTCCTTTTTCTTATTTTTCTCTTCCACTCCTTTTCTGCCTTTTGTGGTTTTAATATCCTTACATTTTTAATATAAAAAAACATTTTATACAGGGCACATGTATGTTGAACACATATATACTTAAATTTCCCCATTTTGAATAAACTTTAGCATATGATACTGATTAACATGTGATACACCATCTTCCTCACCTTGCTTTGTCATTTAACATTATACCTTGGCAATCACTCCAGTATATATGGAGATGATCCTCATTCCTGTTTACAACTGTATAGACTCCATTATGTGGATTTATTCCACTTTATTCAATCAAACTCCTACTGGCAGACATTGGAGGAGTTTCCTCCAGTCTTCTACTATTACAAACAGTCCTTCAGTGAGGAACCTTATGTATAGTTTTTTTGTATTGTCAGAATATATTCCTAGAAATAATATTCCTGATTCAAAAAGTGAATATGTAATTTTGCTAGATGTTGATAAATCACCCTCCATGGGGATTGCATTACTCCATATTCCTACCTGCACTGTATGAGAAGGCCTGTTTCTCCATAGCCATGCCAACAGAGAATGCTGAGTATGGTATTTTGGTTATCTTCATTTCCATTTCTCATTATGAGCAAGGTTGAAGTTCTTTTCATATTGCATAATGTCCACTTATATTTCCTTTTCTAAGAATTATCTGTTCACATCTCTAGCTCTTTTTTATTTTCCTACAGTGTTGTTAATCTTTTTTTTTTTTCTTCTCAATTTTTAAAAGCAGAGTACACATTCTCTTTCTTTCTTTTATTTTTATTGGCAGCTGGCCAGTACACAGATCACAACCCTTGACCTTGGGGTTATCAGCACCATGCTCTAACCAACTGAGCTGACTTGCCAGCCCCACAGCCCACATTCTCTTCCCAGTGGAAAGTGAATAAAGCCACAAGAGACCAACTTAAATCAGTTCAAAAATTCTCCTAGTACTATTTCTGCCTGCTACATCCCAACTGCTTCAAATTTGTTCAAAAAATCTCCTCAGCATTTTTTATCTCAGTCTATACACTATTACTTCCTATTTTGTACTTCTTTCCTTGTTCTCCTTTCTCCTACTCCCCCACATTTTTGTGTTTTTACGATGAACTTTTCTGATTCCTCTCACTTATTTTACGAGTATGATCAGAGGGTGTTTTTTTTGTTTTTGTTTTTTGTTTTGAGACTTTACCATCAGGCCCTTCAGTAACTTGCTCCCTTGAAGAAACACAATGTCCACCCCAGCTATGGCAGGAAGACCATCTGGTTGACCTCAGAACAATGCTTGTTCTGCATAACTTCAGTTTGGAACTGAATAGTGCCTCTTTTATGTTCTTGGTCTGTGAAAGTGGACAACAGTGGAAAACTGGTACTCTAAAGAATATCTTCTTGCTTACCCCCTCAAAAAATGTGCACTTGCCCTGGGCTCCCCTTAGAGTTCTGTGCCAATGTAGAGGGTCTTTATATCATCCCTTCTTCTGAGCAATTATCTAAAACAGAATGGTAAGTCCTTTGTGTTTCTTTGCCTGGAAACAACCTTTATTTACTGTCAAAGGTCCTCCAATTTTCTTTTCTTTCTTTCACAGCCAAATATTTAACTTGCTTATTTGACTATTCTTCTTCTTGCTCAAAGCCCAGAAATGTGGTTTCTACCTCCATCTACTCACAAGATCTGTCATCAGTGACTTCTTAAGTGCCAAATCCATGGCCTCTTCTGTGTTATTTTCCTTGAACTGCTGGTTATATGTGGTGTACACCAAACATGCTCTCTTGAAACTCTCCTCCTTTGCTTTCTGTATCATTAATAATTAATAACAATTTTACAGTGACTAACAATCATCAACACCCTTTCCCTTCCATTATTTCATTTAATTTCCCTAGACCTTGTAATCTAGGTATTATCGCCCTCACTGTTTGGAAAAGGCAGCTGAAGCTCAGAGAGTTTTCACTGAATGTTCTTGCCCACATTCACATTGCCAGTAAGCAGTAAAATCAGGTTTAGGATCTAGGTCTTCCTGCTCCAAACCCCATGTTTTCCTCCGTCTAGTGTTTTCTCTGCCTTTGACTTCTCCATTTTCTTATCTGTATAAGCCCATCCATATTCAGGTATTGCCATAAACCAGGCTTCCGACCTTGAGGAAGCTGTTTTGCCTCTCTGAATATCTGTAACGTGGGCATAAACCCCCATGCTATTACTTTCACAGTAGATAAGGAAGAGCAAATTATAGAGCAAGATACAAATACAAGATTTAATTGCTCACTGGCTTTCCTTCCAGCTCCCAATGCCTCCTTAATCTGCAACTTGCAGATGTTTATCAATTGAAGTAAATTCCAAATTGTGGATCATAATTATCCATCTGTGAGTCATCTCCTTACCTCTATTTAGCTGATACAGCAGGGAGACACAAAAACTCTGAATATAAAGAGAGCTGGATGTCAAATCCTGGCTTTTCCTCTTAATAAATGTGTGTAGTTGAACAAGTTACTTACCCTCTCTGTGCCTCAGATTCCTCCTTTATAATACTCATATATTTCATATGGGTTGTGTGGATTAAATGGGATGCGTTTATTTAAAGTATTTAGGAAAGTCTGGTGTGGAGAAGACTTTCAGTAAATCATAGTTTCTTTATTTCCCCTGATATAATGAGGTGACAATAACCCTGTCTTTAATTTTAATTGTCCCTAAAACTACTATTTAGCTTATAAGTTTTTAACTAGTTAATGGCTCACCCACTTCTGGGCTATGATGATGGTATACCTGTAGACCTCACAATCAAAATGTCTATAAACCACAGAAAGGCCTCGTTAGACAAAATCTTGCAAGAAACATGAAATTATAGGGTAAAAAATTAAGTTTCATCTGACCAATATCTACATATATTAATATAGTGTGGTTTTCACTAGCTGACTCCTGTGAATAAGTCAAAATTTTTCCTTAATTTGATTCATTTTGAATATACAGAGAGTCAGAATGGTATCATGGAAAAAACTTTGGAATTCAAAGATCTAAATTTTATTTGTATCTTCATTACTTAAGAGACCTTGAGGAAGTCTCCCCACCTGGCTAAATCTGTCTCCTTATTCTTAAAAGGTAAATAACAGCACCTGTCTGGCCAGTCTGACATGGTAGTGGCGAGGAACAAATGAGACAGTTATTTGGAAGGGTTTCCTCGAGGACAGCAGGCTAGTCAATGTGAGTTACTATGTTTCATTGATAATGTATTAGAAAGTTTAGATGAGAAATCAAAATCTGAAAAAGTAAGATCCAGTACTTACCTCTTACACCTTCATGGGTTTGTATCAGTTATGATGCATGTGGTTCCATACAAAAGCATTCAAAAATCATCATGAGAAAAAAAAAGCCTAGACTTTTATTATTGAAAGGAGTCATTAAGATCATCAAGTGCAGCTCCTGGTTTGCAGAAAAGGGAAAGGTTCCCCAACTTTTGGATAGCAGAGACCAAGAGTAGGACCCCAGATATACGTCTTGCATGTTGACACTATTCCAGGATTTAAACAAGCTAAGAACTATCTGCAATCTTTCTCAAACTTTCAAAATCTACAGTGTAAGCTGAACTCTCAGTTTGGGAGAAAATGTAAAAAAGAAAGAGGAATCATCATTATTTAATAACAAAATGGGTTTGTTTTCAAATTAATAACACTTATTTCATATCAGTGAGAGGAATATGATCATGACGATTTTTTACCAGATTATCTACAGCCAAGGTCATCTTACTTAAGTGTTCAATCCTAATGGCAAAAGTAAAGTGAAAACTGTACAAGGGCAAAACCTTTGAAAATTCCTTAAAATATTCCACATAATTCTATAGGGGATCTTATTCAGAAATTATTTTCTTCAAGTATTTTGCCTCTTAGAACACTTAAGGCTTTTCCAAATTTCAGCATGCTTGCTCTTTGCATAAATGGTTATCTTCTTCCTTCTTGTCAGTTATGTGCACCGCACACCAACTAAAAGCCAAAAGCACATCAGTTTTGGGTTTTTTTTTTTGTCATTCCCACTGTAAAACAACGATCTGCTATCACAACAAACTGCATTTATACGTTGTATATTTTGAGTATTATGCAACACCAAAAAGGTGTTTATAATTTATTTATGATTATATTATTCTGAATTATAGTATTTACTATTTTCATCTCTTCTCATATTTTAATAAACCACTTTCAAGTCACTGATCCTTTTGTTTATAATCTGGGGATATAACATAAAAAAAATAATAAAAATTGCAAATGTAAATAATACTTAAACAACATAAAAAAAAACCCATAGCCAAGGCAGATTGTCATGCTATTAACCTAGTGTTAACCTAGAGAAACATATCAAATGCACGTTTTATAGCACATGTGCAACCTTTAAGAATATAATGATTATTAAGAATATTATAAAGCAGCATTGAGAATAAGACCACAGACTCTGAAACTAGATGGCCTCAATTCAAAACCATCCTCTGCCACTTACTATCTGTTGGCCTTGGGCAAGCAACTTAAACTCCCTGTGTCTTGGCTCCTCCCCATAAAATAGGGATAAATACTAGCACCCAACTCAAAGGGCTGTATGAGGATTGATGAAAATTGAATTAACACATGTATTTGACATAGGAAATACTTTAAAAAAAGTTAGCTTTATATCTATAATGGGGTTTCTTTATATCTATAATGGGGTGTAAAATGTAGCTCATTTTACATTTCAAATTTGTGAGCTTTATGTTAGCCAACACATCTGTGGATTGAAAGCCACAAATTACCACTGGTCTTGGACCCTACTTGTATCTCTGCTGTGACACATTTAGTTATTTACTCACCATTGCTTGGGACACAGGTTTCCAAAAGAACAGATGATGTGCTTTTGAATAACGGATTGCTAACAGTACACCGTGTTTCCTGAGAAAGATCATCTTCTATCCCAAAATATATTTCAGTCATTGAGTGATTTTTACATTGTTCTGAAGGGCAATTCCATGAGTACGTAATAAGCTCTGGGTGGTTGTTATGCTCCGGGATGCTGCATTGGACTACAATGTTTTCACCAGTCAATGCACAAGTTAGTGTCACGGATGGAAGAGGCCCTGTAAAAAAAAAAAAAAAGGTAATATTTAGTATATAAAAGACTTATATTTAGAGTCACCATCTGCAAATTTATCAAGAGTTCCCAACTTCCTTATGACCTTGAAAAGATGAGCAGAGTACTTCCTTGAGCATCAAGAGAAGAGAATTCTCTCTTCTGCTGGGTCAAATCTACCTGTCCAAATCCAGAAAAATAAATTCAGGCCCCAAATCCCTTATCCTCAATTCTGAAATCCAAAAGGCTCTGAAAGCCAAAAAGTTTTTCACAGGATGGTAGCAAAGTCATATAGCTGCAAATCCTGATCTGAATTGACAGAGAACTTAGTCTTTATTTTTCTCACTTACTTTGAATATTCATGATCATGTTTCAACACAAAAATATTTCTGTGCTTGACCACAGGGTGCTTCCCATAACTGAGTGGGGTGCTTAATATACAGAGAGAAAATATTTCATATTCATATTACCTTCCTAAAATGTAAAGTAAAATTTAATTCCAAAACATATCTGACTTGAATGGTTTTGTAAAAGGTACTGTGGAGCTATACAGAGCCTTGCTGGGTCCTGCCCGTTGGTTGGGCTGGTGCTAATAGGTAGAGGGCTGGAGCACTTCTCCCAGACCTGCCAGTCCAGAGACCTCACTCCCAACCCTCCATTAGGAAGTGCTTCCTATTGACTAAGGCAGCCTGAATCTACAAGGATGGATTAAGACACACACATCACATTATACCATTTTCCCCCTGTAAAACCTTAGTGATAATTAGTTTTTCCTAGTGGTCATTTATTTGCTAATTCATATGCCTTCTTGCATCTCAACTTTTTTCCAGCAGCTAATCATAAGAGTCTTGAGAACACATGCAAAACTACATGTAATCTGCAACACTGGCCATGGTGGCATTTGGATAATAAAAAGTTTTGATGCATTATAAACATCTACTAAAAAGGGCATTAAAGTAAATGAAGGTTCAACAAGATAATGGAAAACTATGCTGCCATTTAAAATGAAATTTTCTAAGACAAAGGAATGCTTAAGCTCCAAGTAATAATCTAAAAAATAAAAATGTTGAACTAATCTTCTCCTCCTCCTAAATTCTTTCCTGGCAGTTAAATAATCACCCCACCTACCTTGTTCAGAGACCAGAGTCACACACTGACTTCCCTTTCTCCTTGGGTCCTCCTCAGTTTTTAGGTTTCATCTAGCTCACATAACTCCTTACATGCTACCTTAAAGTTTACTTTAACGAAAAGAACTTTTAATCATTTTTAAGCAGTGGAAACCTTTCTCCAAATTAAATTTTAAGCAGCGGACCAATACGTCAAATAGATAAGGAGTTGCTCTGGTTGACTCAAAATTGGAAAGCCTGGAGCCCTGGTCCCTCAGCCTCCTCTGGTTCATATTGCCCACTATACCCCCGTAGCAGCCCCCGGGGGACTTCCAAGGAACCCTACATGTTTGCAGAGCAATAGTTCAGAAATGCCTGTTTTCAGTATTGCAAATACTTATGCCTGCCTCTGCAAATAGGCTGGACATTTCTCAGAGGCAAGAAACTGAGCTTTCTACTTCCTTAGAAATGCTCCTTAGAAACTCTCCTCAAATTTTAATGTGCTAGGGCCGGCCCGATGGCGCACTGCGCTAGTGCGCCGCTTGGGAAGCGCGGAGGCGCTCCCGCCGAGGGTTCGGATCCCACATACAGACCGGTTCCCGCTCACTGGCTGAGCGAGGCGCGGGGGCAACACCGAAGGTTGTGATCCCGTTGCCGGTCCCGGTCCGGTACGGGGGCAACACTGAGGGTTGCGATCCGTTGCCGGACACGAAAAAAGACAAAAAGGAAAAAAAAAAATTTAATGTGCTAAGAATCACTAAGCGTGCTGATTAAAAATACAGATTCTGGGGCTAGCTCAGTTGTTTAGAGCATGGTGTTGATAACACCAAGGTCCAGGGTTCAATCCCTGTTCTGGCCAGCCGCCAAAAAAAAAAAAGATTCCTATGTCCCACCACCCCAGTTTCTAATGTGGGTGGCCCATTTGTCCTGTTACAGAGTCTAGTTTATTGACCTAATTCAGGCAGCTGTCTTTCATCCAATACTGCCTGAACTAAACAGAGGTGCATCATGAGCTCCCTCAGACTGTGAATCTTTGGACGGTAAAGACTAGGTATTATTCACCTCTTAACCACAGCACCTAACATAATACAAGGCACATAGATGGCTCCTCAGTAAATATTGTTGGATAGACGTAGAGATGTATGGATAGAATTATAAATTCAGGGAGACAGTCTTCAAATTATTTTCTCTACCCTATAAACTGTCAATCCTCCAGCCAGCTCACCTCCAGAAAGGAATGGTATGGTGCTTAAGAGCATGGACTCAGAAGCCTGACTGCCTGGGTTCATATCCCAGTTCCATTAATAAGAGTCATTTGGCCATGGATCAAATGATTAAGTTACTTAATCACCATTTGTCTACGTCTCCTCCTCTGTACAATGATGAGACAAATAGTACCTACTCCATCCGATTGTGATGAGGATTAAACAAGTTGATATAGATAACAATTAATACATGGTTAATATGTAGCACCTGCACAGAGTAAGTGCTCACAAACGCTAGCTGTAACAGCGCATGGATGGTGGCCGTGAGTGATCAACTCCAGGAAGCCAAGGCGTCCCAGGAGGGTATGTGATACGTTGAAAAGCGTTACTGACCAGTAGTTGGGAGGTTTGATCTTTAGCCCTGGCTTTTTTTGTGACCTTGGATCACAGTTCTTTAGGAGCTAGGAGATGTTTAAGTAATCATCCAGTCCAGGCCTCTTGTTCTACAAATGGAGGAACCCACTCCTAAATCTGTCTCATTTTCATCTGTAAAAGGGAATACTTGATAAAGGCATTGTAAAGGTCAAGTGGAATATGAAAGTAATTGGAGGGGGAACATTTAGAAGAGCTAGTATTATCTTTTATGTTGTTAGAACTCCCTAAACTATACAGACACTCTTTCTGGCTATCTCATTACACCACTGTTGCCAAATGGCAAACCTAGGAGTGCATATCTAACTCACCTAAAAGTGTGCAGACCTCTCTGTAGCATCTGGGTCAGAGTTTCTACAGCTCAGATCCTTCCCTTCTATAAATCTTTCACATTTTCTCACTGCCCAAGGGACTTACCAAAGCTATATCTACTTTATATCATTACCTTAAGCAGCATTAAACAGGCAAGACGTGCCTATTTCATCCCTAAGCTAATTAGTCAACTTATAATTAATGAATTTAGCTCACTGCTGTGTAAGAAATAAGAATTTCTTACACATAGCTGGTGACATTTTATAGAAATGTTTATATTGCCACTAACTTTAATAAAGGCCACATACCAATCCAGACCATTTAAAGACAGAGCAATTAATTCTACTTACATGAATATCATCATCTTCAATATGATAAAGGTTTGTAAGAGGATGGGAGAGAACTAATAAATATTAATGGTGGAAATTTTAACGGACTTTGATAGAAATGAAAGCCAGATCTTGACTTATACACAGAAGGAAGTAAATGCCCTGAATTTAGGAGGTCTCAGGAAATCCCCCTGTCCAAAATATACTTGCTGAAAGTCTCTTATTAGGTCTGGTGTCTCCAGAAGATTACCAAGTCACTTAAACGAGTGTTAACATAACCTCAAGGAAGTATGATTTATTCATTTCTAAAGAACAAGTATGACCAATCGTTTTATTATTCATATGTAAAACCTAGAGTCATCTTATGTCTTTTTACAACCAAAACCCCAATCCTGTTTACTCCTTTTTGTAAGTCTCTTTTTTTTTTTTGTCTTTTTCCGTGTCCGGCAACAGATCGCAACCCTCAGTGTCACCCCCGCACCGGACCGGGACCAGCAACGGGATCGCAACCCTCGGTGTTGCCCCCGCGCCTCGCTCAGCCAGTGAGCGGGAACCGGTCCGTATGTGGGATCCGAACCCTCGGCGGGAGCGCCGCCGCGCTTCCCAAGCGGCGCACTAGCGCAGTGCGCCACCGGGCCGGCCCTGTAAGTCTCTTTTGATTCTTTCCCTTCCAAACATCTACTACTAACCACTCTGTCTACCTGGATGATCACAGTACCTTCTAACCTGGTACCTCCTCTCTCTAATCCACCATAAATACTCACTATTGGATTAATCTTCCAACAATATACTTTGTCAAATCACTTCCCTGCTCCAGGATCAGGTAACATGGCTCACCACTGTCACAGGCTAAAGTTCACATCTCAAACCAAGACTTTAGGTCTCACCTTCACCACTGTCGGTGTTACCACCTCCTGATCAAAACTCACCTCCCCTGTACTTTACCCAGGTGCAGGCTTTCACTGTGCTTCCTCATCTCTATCCAGCTGGTCTGACCACCAAAATCACATACCTTTGTTGAGTTACAATAGAATCTTAAAAATTATTCTTAAGCATTTCATCAAATATTTTGAACAGTTTTACAACTCTATAAAAGGGCTCTTAATATATATTCTAGTGTTATTTAAATTCTGAATCAATCTTTTGCTTGCTTGCCCTATAAACTGCCAGATCCTCAATTTCCACATTTCCAAGATTTTACTTCTTCAAGGGGACACACTGGTTCTTCTAACAGGATGCATTGACATCTTAACAAGCTTCACTTGTCTAAATGGAGTTCCTGGGGGCCAGATCTCATCAGCCTTGCAGGCCACTATAAAGATTTTAGCTCTGAGAGTAAAAAGTTCTACACAGATGAGAGACATGACCTGACTTCCGTTTTAAAAGGATCACTCTGGCAGAACCAACAAAATTTCTTGGTGGAGGAAATGTGAAGTTCAAGAAAAAGAAAGTGTCAAGGATGACGTCAAAGTTTTAGCCTGAGCAACTGGAGAATGGAGCTGCCTTTAACCAAAAGGAGAAATATTTGAGGAGGAGTAGGTTTTAAGGGTAAGATAATGAGCTTATTTTTGGACATGTGATATTTGAGAGGCTAATTAGATACCCGAGCAGATATAGAATAGGCGGTCAGACATACACCTAAGGAGCTCAGCTGAGGTCTGGGCTGAAATTCTAAATCTGTGCATTATCAGCATCGAGATGATATTTAAAGCACTCACACGGATGAGCTCAGCAACCTGGATATGAATGCAGCCAGACAAGGGAAGAGGCCCAAGACTTAAAGCTGAAGTGTCCCATGTCAAGAAGTTGGGGAGATGAGGAAACCAGCAAAGGAAACTAAGAAGAAACAGTAAGATAGAAACAAGCCTGACAAGGGTGGTGTCCTGGACACCAAGTGAAGACAGTGTTTCAAGGAGGAAGGAGTGATCAGCTGTGTCAAAAGCTGCTGAGAAGTCTAACAAGGAGGCCAAGAGTCACAGCAGTGGGGATGAAAGCTTATTTGGAGTGGGTTAAAAGTGAATTAGAGAAGAGAGGTCTGAAAAGTTACTCAAGGAGCTTTCCTATAAAGTCAAGATGGAAAGTGGTGGTGGTAGCTGAAGGGGTAGAGGTATCATGAGAGGGTTCTCAATGATGGTATTAAAAACAGCATATGTGGATGCTGCTGACAATGAGCCACCAACTCTTGGGGGGTAATTACTGTAAGAGGAAAGTAGGTAGAATTGCTATTCCTGAGAATGGTAAGAGGAGGTGAGATCCAGGGCACAAGTGGAAGGTTTGGCCTCAGATGAGAGCTTAGAAAGTTCATTCACTCTAAATTGAAAGAAAACAGGGTATACAGGCTCAGGCACAGGTAGGAAGATAGGCAGGTGGAAAGAGCTTGTGGAAGTTCTTTTCTGATTGCTTCTTTTCCTCAGTGAAACAAGAAACAAAGCTGGAGGAAGAGGTGTTCGAGGTTTGAGGAGAGGAAAAATAACTGTTAGGAGACTGGGCAAGTGAATAGACTAGGGAAATATCAGACTTAGTTGAAGTAACTGAATAGAAACTAAATGTGCAGGACTCCTCAGGGTGATGTGTTTTTCTGTAACCACAGGGCGTGAGCATAGAATAGGCAGAGCACTGGATTTAACCCAGCTGTAATCTGACCACACGAGGATGACAAGTCAAAAAAGGAGCAAGGAAGCTAAGCATGTCTACAACAGATAAGTCCAGTGAGTGACAGTGGCATTTGGGCCAAGTAAGGATGGCAGAGAGGACATCAGGTGGGTGAAGGGCTGTCAGTCTGCACAGTACAGGAAGTGAGCTTCAAAAATAGGAGGTGGTGGTCAGAGTGGACACCTGACACTGAGAGAATGCCCTGGTAATGATAAGTTCTAGGTTCTATCCATGGGGAATGGGTAAAGTGGAGGACAAGATCATTACAGGAGAGAAGGACTGAGAAGTCACAATATTAGAAAGAACTTTTATTTAAATATTGTAACCACCAAGAATTATAAAAGCAGGAATGTTAGAAACAGTGAAAATAAGCCAGGCACTAAACTGATCAAGAAACACTGGGGCATGACCCCAGGGCCTATGGATGACTGCAACAAGGAAAGGGCATTAGAGATGAGGGAAGGAGAACGACTTGGAAATATCAATGAGAAGCAAGGAGCAAGCTGTACCCTATCTCCAGTTCTGGTTTAAATGAGTACAGGAGGAAAAGAAGAAATCTGCCACCTGTGTGAGGAAGCAGGAACTCTAATTTACAGAGAGCACCATTTATCAGAGGAGCTCAAAGAGTTCTGAGCTAATTGCTGCCACTACATCCCTTTCCAGAACATTCTTAGCAAGACAACAGGTGCTGTTCTCCCCACCTCAGATTTCTCTCCTCACCCAGACAATGACAAGGGAATTGAAGGTGGCTAGCTCCTGTATACCAGAAAGAGTAGAGAACTCTGACAGCATGTGGATCTAATTTTTTTATTTCTCATAAACCATTAATTTTTATTAGTTGCTGAAAATAGTTGGAAATTTTCCATTTTAAACAAATCAATTTACAGAATACTTACCAATCACAATAAGAGAGAACTTGGAACTCTCCTTAATATCTGGTGATTCAATTTCATATTCACCTTCATCTGATGATGTTAAATTGAAGATGGTGAGGTTACCTGACGTGGTGTCTAAATGAACCCTACCCACGAAAGATGGGAAAGTTTTGACCGCATAGTTACTTTCCCATTCTACAACTTTATCCTTGTGTTTTTTCCACGTAATCTCTTTAAAAGGCATATATCTTGATGTAGGAAAAGTTATATTGTTGTTCACAACCCCATATAACAGTATGGAATCACAGCTGATGAAACCTGGGAAGGGGAAAAAAATAGGTTAGAAAAAGCAACATGACTTTATTGATAATAGAAAATCATCTTCCAAGATGCTCTTTGGGAAAAAAAAGTTAAATTTAGTGGCAGAAATTATTCATCAGGTACTTTTTGTGCTAAGCTGACAAACTGCTGACAGAAAGTCCAGGAAGAACGTGCTTGACCATGTAGAGCTTACTATTTAATAGAAAATCAGGACCTACACAAATCTAAGAAATGGATTCAACATTTATGGAGCACCAACTACATGCCAGGTCCATGCTAGGAACGTAGCAGCAAAAGACACAGGCACTTCTCCAGGCTCTCCAGGAGTCTCACAGTATGGAGACACTGAGCAGGTGTGTAGGGAAAGTGAACGTAAATGGTCAGGATCCCTCAGATGTTCAGAACCTTGCCAGGCATGACCGACCCTGTTTGATGTAAATGTTAACTGCACACGTGCGCCAAGGTGTTCCTTGGCTATAGTCTGCTGTAGGGCACCCAGGTGTTCCTGGGTTGTCTGACTCACACCCAAGTGTCCCTGGGTTATTGGACTTGAGTATAAAGGATGAACGGCTCTGCTCCACACTGCCCCCTGCCCCCGGGACACCCCAAGGGAGCCACTACTGTTGCTGGAAACTGTTGCTGCCAGGGCCCCCAGGATGCCCCATTAGGCCACTGTAGCTGCTGCCGGAGGCTGCTGTAAGCTGCTGCTGCTGAGGAAGCTGAGGACTTAGCTTGCACCGATCAAGCACATCAACCGTGCCAGTGGCTCCCAGGATCTTTTTTCAATTACCTAGCTCGTGACCTGTATAGGAGGGGTGTGGTGACCCAGCCTGGCATGTGAGGGGTATGGTGACCCAGCCTGGCATGTGAGGGGTCTGTGACCCAGTCTGTACAATGGGTTTGAAGGATCTGTGAGTCCTAACCCGACAAGGCAACACATGAGGGGCTGCAGTGAAAGGGCCTCCCCGAGGAAGTCATGCTGAAACTGACAAAATGCACAAAATCCCTGAAGGATACAGAGGAGTTAGCCAGCTGAGGGGTGTGGGGGTGGGGAGGGGGAGGAGAGATGATCACACAGATAAAGGAAGCAGCATCTCCAAAGGACAACCCTGAATCAAGAAAGAGCTTGGTGTGTTTGAGGACATAAAAGCAGCTGCAAATGGCTGGAATGAAGAGAGCAAGGGGTGACATGGGAAATGAGACAGACAGATGGGGCAGGTCACAGTCTGTGTCTGTGTTGCGGCGGGTGGGGGCAGGTAAGGTATGCTAAGGGTTTGGACTTACCCTAATGGCAAGAGAAACCCACTGAAAGGTCTTTAAAAAAAGACTGGCCTGACATAATTTAAGTTTCAGCAGGCTGACTCTGTCTTTAGAGTGGAGAGAGGTGGACAGTGCAAGCACAGAGGCAGAGAAACCAGAATAAAGTCTGCCATAGCAGGGAGAGAGCTGTGGACTGTAGTATTGGTGGTAGCAACAGGCAAGTGAACAGACTCAGGAGACGTCTGAGAGATGAAATCAACAGGACTCAGTGACTGGGTGTGAGGGGTGGGGAAAGGGAGGAGTCAATGGTGACTGTCCAGTCTTTCGTGGTTGAGAGGTATCATTAATTAAGATCAGAAACAGTGACTGGGAAGCATGTTAGAGGGCATGATGCAGATTAAGGACTCAGAGCTTGGGTACAGTAGTATGTTGTAGCTGACTCAAACCCACTCTTGTGAGACAATTGTTAGCACCTCTGGCCAACTCTATTCAGTGAAGTCTGGTTGAGAGCTTGAAATCTATCACAGTGGGACTACGCAAACAGACCAATGCTTCAAATCAGAGACTTCCCTCCCCATCCATGGTGGTGAAACATTTACTAACACCACTAGATTGGGATATGTTTGATGCCCCAGAATGGGTTTAAATGCATCTTGCTCCAGCCTTGACTTTCTTAAGAGAAAAAAGCAGCTATTTAAGGTTAACATTAAAAATAAATTAAAACTTGATTAAAGTTTTAGCCTAGTAGCAATCGGCATAATTGAAAGAGCACGGGAAAAATCAAGAACATAAAAGACCAATTGTAGACAACTGTGTTGAATCATTTCAAATAAGCAAATATCTCCCATTTTTCTATTTGCAAGAATTTTTAGAACCCATCTTTCTTAATTTAAGGGGACTGCCCTCAAAAATATGCCAGCCTACGTCTGTTGCTTTGCTAATCATGCACTATGTCTCCCATATAACAGAGTATGTGGGAAGGCAGATGAAAAACAATACAATTTGAGGGGTGATTCTATCCACACACCATAATGGAGGCTCAAAAATGTCTTATAAATGTAAGTGAATGGATGGATGGTAGCGGGTAGGGTAGCAGTAAGAGAAAGATATGAGATGAACTGTCACACCCTGGTTGCGTGCAGATGGCTTCTTTCTTTCCCAGGGAAAGGGACTGTTTCCTGAGCTTGAGAACAATGAGAAGAAAGAAGTCAGGAACGGAGCCAGTGGTGGAGAGAAGCAAGGGCAGAGAAAAGGGAAACTGCAGCTCAGAAAAAAGTCATAGTAATTTTGAGGTGGAAGAAACTCTAAAAAGTATTGAGTCAAATTACCCCCATCTTTTGGTGCAGTGACAAGGCACCAAGAAAAATGAAAGTCAATTTTATTGAATGGCTACTCTCTGCTGGTTTGTTTTCATGTCCTCTTGTATTCCTTTTTAACCTTCTCCACGTCTGTGTGCCGTAGGTATTGTTAACCCCGTTTTACAGGTGAGGAAACAGGCTCCAAGAGGCATATCAACTTGTTCAGTGTCTCTCAGCAAGTTTATGGCAGCACAGAGACCAGAACATTCATTTTCTGACTCCTTGGTCAGAGCCCCTTTCAGAACAGCATGGTCCTGTTATTCATTCATTCATTTATTCATTCATTCGTTCAGGCAATATTTATTGGGCATCTATGCGGGACTCTTGAGAACAAGGAAGACATGTTCCCTGCTCTCTTAGATCTTACTTTCTATTAGGGGAGGCAGACTTTATACAAATAATTAGACAAACACCCAACTGAGGCTTTGATAAGCAGCACTCAGTGAAAGCATGGGGTGTCAGTAAGAGCATATCTCTAGGAAACCAACAAGGGATTAGGAAAAGCTCCCTGAGCTCTGAAGAGTGAGTTACAGCTAGCTCTGCCAAGGAGAGAGAGGGGCATGCCCCTGTCAAGAGAGCAGCTGTGAAGACCATGAGGTGAGAGCGGCAATGGCATGGGAAAAGCAGGCTGGGCTGGATACACAGGCGGGGCCACCCCTTGCAGGACCCTAGACAAACTCAATTTTGGCCTTTATCTTTTTGTGTGTGTGTTTTTGGTTTTTTGGGGTTTTTTTTTTTTTTTTTTTTCTTTTTTTTTTTTTTCGTGTCGGGCAACGGATCGCAACCCTCAGTGTCGCGCCCGTACCGGACCGGGACCGGCAACAGGATCGCAACGCTCGGTGTCGCGCCCGCACCTCGCTCAGCCAGTGAGCAGGAACCGGTCTGTATGTGGGATCCGAACCCTCGGTGGGAGCACAGCCGTGCTCCCAAGCGGCGCACTGTAGCAGTGCACCACCGGGCCGGCCCCTGGCCTTTATCTTGAGATAAGAAGGCCACTGAAGAGTTTTAAACAGGATGGGGAAAAACAAAAATAACTTTTCTTTAAAAAATATACTTAAAAACATAAATTATACATTCAAGGGTACTTCAAAAAGTTCATGGAAAAATAGATCAAAAAGATAATACAAGTCTTTCCACAAATTTTTTGAAATATCCTCATAGACACATACATATAATTTTACATGAATGCAGAATGACGGCCGGGGTTTTATTTATTTATTTATTTATTTTGTCTTCGATGCCTTACTCTCTCCCAACCCCCACAGCAACCTCAGTTCTATAATCTACATTAACAATTCAGAATACATCCTTCGATATTTTTCTCCCTGCTCATACAAATAGATAAATACAAATCACATATAATGTATATATATAAGAGATTTGCCATTGTTTAATAAAAATGGTGTTATGCACAATTCTCTTCATCCTGTCTTTCTCATAATAATATCTCATAAAAGTCTCACCAAAATCAACTAGTTACACTTTATTCTTCTAAATGGTACATAATATTCCAGAGTATGAATGAACCATAATTAATCTGCTATCCACCACTGGCGAACGTCCCTTTTGTCCCCAGCTTTGTCTATTGCAGTAACATTGCAATAACTATCCTGGTGTATTTATGGTTTCATATCTATGAGAGCGTCGCAGGAGTGGGGCTAGGGTTTGCTAAATCAAGGGTAAATAGGTTTTTTATTTTAATAGAAGTTGCCATATTTCCTACAAAAATCTTCCGCAATTTACATTCTCATCAGTAATGCCTGCATCACCCTCTCCTTGTATTCCTGCCAGCATTAGGTGGTTTTTGGCAAGTTTAACTATTGGGCATAAAGTGATATTTCATTATCACTTGAATTTGTGTTTTTCTGACCTTTGGAAATTTAAGCATCTTTTCTGTTTGTTGATGAATTGAATTTCCTTTTCTGAGAACTGCCTTTTCATATCCTTTGCCATTTTTTCTATCAGGTTGCTTGTCTTTTTTCCTGTCAAATTTTAAGAGCTCCTGACATATTATAGGTAGATCTTTTGTTATCTGTATTATTTTTTTCAAATCTAGCCTTAGCCTATTGATTTTATTAAATGGGTATCTTCCATATAAAAGTTCTATATGTTTACATAATCAGAATGTCTATCTTTTCTGGCTGTGGTGTGGAAGACTGATGTGAGGGGTAAGACCAGACCTCAAGAGACCCATCAGGAGGCATCTTCGGTGGCCCAGGCAGAGGGCAATGGCAGCGTGGACAGGAAGCATCATGGTGCTACAGAAAGTGGTTCCAGAAACATTTGGAGGTATAGTTGGCAGGACTAGGTGACTGGCAGCAGGTGGGGTAAATAAGGGGGAGGGGAGGCACCAGGGTGGCTCAGAGCTCTGGCTCTCCC